TTATATGAAATTATATGAAAACAGATGGACCAATAGATCTACAGGGAGTCCCCAGGGAGTCCCTGGGGACTCCCCTAAAAATCCCTGGGGACTCCCGTTACGGAATCCCCGGGGAGTTTTAGAGGGACTCCCCGGGGAGTCCCTGGGGACTTTCTTGGGGAGTGTCGATTAGGGTTTTTTAATCTACACAAAATGCCTGAAGAAACTGCGACAGCAAAATTTATATTCTCTCACTCACTGGAACTGCTGTGTACTTACTTTGCAAATTAGTTACATTTGTTCTTTGATTTACTTCTGCTGTGAGAAACTTAAAAGAGCTGATATAAAAAGTAATAGAAATAAGTGTCTGATGTAACAGATACTGCTTTTTCGTCTCATTGAAAATGAGAAGAAAAGCTTTACTTTGTAACATCGTCACATACGTGGCTACCATATAAGTCTATGTGTACTATATAAATTCTTTCACTTTTCAAAATGTTAGACAAGTATATATATGCGTTTGTTGAAGCATGTTTTTCTTCGTTACAAATTCACATCGGACAAAATACACGTGAAAAAATTTGAAATGTGAACTATGTACAGTCCGTTCCAGTCGTCATTTTATTCAAGTTCATCTTCATATTTTTCATTCTGTTTTTACGGGCTGAAAAATATACGATTCATTTGTACATTTCGAAATATTTTGAAAATGTGAGTATATAACTGCAAGCACGTGTAACACGAACACTTTCATTTTACTAAGAGGTGCAAAAACAGATTTCTTTTTCTTAATTAGGGTCAACGAGTTTGCAGGCTGTGTCTAATACCGTGTTATTTTTGTATCATACATCGATTTTCTTGCGACCTGGAATGCTCATTTTATATAGAAAGTGTAGCGTTTATAACATATACAAGGTATGTTGCAATGGAGAAGTCGCAAGTTTTCAAAAACTTCTTTCGTTTCATACATAAAGTAGTATAGCATCTGAACAGAATATAATACACACAGACAAAGAAACATGAAGCTAAGATTGTTCAATACTTGACGGTGGGGGAAAGCCGGGTGAGCTGTTGTGTTCAGGATAGGTAAAAACCGTTATTGAAAAGCTTTGTAATGTGCCGTTTACGTGTCAAATTGGTAAAAGTTCTACGTAAAATGAGAAACCCTAGGCATACATCCGAATTTCACATCTCAACAAAATAGAAATAGGTTATGCAAATCGAATAGTCGAATTCAGCATCAAAAGTAACCTGCACACGATTATTTTCATCGAACTTGGTGTGTATAATAGAGAGAAAATAGGCCGAAATACCACTAGTTTTCAGTGACTCATAGCTCAAACATCCTCCTGGAGCCGCTGTTTTTCTCCGTCAAAATCTACAGTATTTGAGACGCTCTCTCATTTGAAATCAGTCACGAGAATTTATCTTGGGAAATAGACGAAGAGAAACCGACATAAGTTTGGTAAAATCTGCTGAAATAAGAAGGAAATTGTTTGAACAGTGAAGTCCTTATAACGATTAATGTTGATATAATGACATGTTTTATATGGATTTACTCAGCTATATATTATATTAGAGCTGCGACAAATAGCGATTTTCTTTTCTTATTCACGTTATATATAGTGTGTGGACACATTGCAATGTACGGTACACATATATAACATACTTTAAGACTGTTGTCTGTGTAGAGTGATGTCACTTTTGTTTCTTTTTCTTAGTGTGTACGAACGTTATAGGCTTCATGCAGGTAAGACCGTTTATGCTGACCTTTTTTCCTTTTTATCATCCATATACACATTCATCAGGTCGCCAAACACTTGAGTGTCGCTAGTTTATCAGAATGTATCGAATTAGATAACATAGCGGCTCTTAACGGATAGAAAATACTGATAATATTTCAAAAAACTAAGTATGAGCTCTTAAAAGTGCCCACATCCTAAGTGCATAAAGAGATAAATATCTATGAAGTTGTAGTGTAATGATTGCGCTCACGTAGAAATCAACTTCGGTATTTTTATTCGTGCTAAAGGGTGGTTTATATTATATGACGCACATCTGGATGCAGAAAAAGAAAAAGGAGAGAAAGAACGCAAAAAATATACCATTATGCAAGAAAAGAAAAGAAAGTCGCTATTCGTCGCAGCTCTATTGTAGTATTTAGATTTATCATCAGAGATGGGCGAGTACGAGTATACTCGGGTATACACTTGTACGCGAGTACACTCGAGTACAAAATTTTTAGTACTCGTACGGGTACTCGGGACATTTTTTTACGAGTACTTAAAAATGTACTCGGGTATTTTCGAGTACTTGAAATTTTTTAACATACAATAACCTATAATTAAAATAACTTTTTTCACGAGTATTTTCTTCTTTTAAAAATACTCGTACTCATACTCGACGCCCAGTAATCGTGCCCGAGAATCTGCGTACACGCCCATCTCTGTTTTTCATGCACATTTCGAAATAAATTCCAATATTCACCTAGAAAAAGCTAATGAATACCCAAAAGAGATGAATATTCGAAGAAGAACATTCGATTATTCAAGCACATACAGTTCAAATTTTTGGTCGATCTGTTTAGTCTTTACAGATGAACTGAACTTTCATAGGCAGAACGAGAAAGAGAATTTCCTTTTTTGACTGAAATGTGTGAGTGAACATTCGGATATATCAATCGCATCGCTAATAGCTACCGACCTAAGAGAGATGAAAATCTTTTCTTTTTACTAAAATATAACCACCATTCTATCTACGATATAAATTTCGTCAGTTGGCTGTTAGTAGTTAGTGAAATACAGCATACGCGTTTTATGGACAAGAATCGTGTTTTTTCGAAAATTCGGTCTCTTGCGAAAATTCAGATCTAACTGAAAACAGCCTGAAACCTTATTTCAGATATTACGCAACAACTTCAGAATATCAAGGTATACTCTATTAAATACTGCACATTTCCTTCACTGAACAGTCGTTACTTGCCGCCCTGGTTCCGTCCTACTACACGGTGTGTATCTGCGTCTATTCATAATGAAGAAGGACTGAAGAAGAAATGGAAAAAGCGCACTCTTTCCTCGTATCCGTTCTGTGATCTTGTTTCGAAATCATGGATCTCGGAAGTTGATAGGTAGGAGAGAAACTCATTAACGGATTAATCTAAAAAGTAAATTGTTTTCTTCGCCCTCTGAATTTCACCATAGAATTGAGGAAGAGATTGAGCCATCGTCATATATATTATTTACCTTTCTCTGACGTCCTCATCGCAGCACCGAGTTACAAGAACAAGGTCACAGAAGCGATAAGAGGAGAAGAATGTACTTTTTCCATTTCCCCTGCTCTCCTTCTTCACTGTGAATGTACGCACATACCCACAGTGTATAGGACGATAACAGGAAGGCAAGTAACGGCTATTAGGTGAACGAAATGTGCAGTATTATAAAGTCTACTTTTCTCTATTGTTACTACACATAGATTTTCCAGCAAACTTTGCTCCTCTACTGCAATAAAAAGTTGTTATCAATATGTCTTGCACTGATAAATGCGATGACCACTGGAGCTATGACGATCCATCAAAATGGTCGGAGCATTTTCCGGCTGCCCGTGGTTTGAGCCAGTCGCCGATTAATATCGAGTTGGATAAAACGGTCGCCCAGTTGTATCCACCATTTGTATTTTCTCCCAACTACAACACGGATGAAGTGTTGTTTACGCTGACGAACACTGGTCATCAGGTTGCCGTCACACTGGCTGGAAGCACTAACAAAGAAAATCAAACAGACCTATCGTTTACTGGTGGCGGTCTAACAGGAACATTCCATTTCGTTAATTTCCATTTGCACTGGGGCCAAAATGATAGGCATGGGTCCGAACATGAAATTGAGGGGAAAATATTTCCAGCCGAAGCACATTTTGTTCATATGAATTATGAAACTGAGCAACTGGCAGTATTCGCATTCTTTTTCACTGTCGATGATCAGTCGGAGAACGAAAATACTGAATGGAGAAAGTATATTGATGTCGCGGATAGGTTGGTTAATATCAATGACACCGCCAATTGTACGTTTAATTTAAGTCAACTTATGCAAACTGATGGCACATATTTTTTTCGTTACATGGGCAGTTTGACAACGCCGCCGTGCACGGAAGGCGTCATATGGACAATATTCCCAAGTGAAATTCCAGTAAAAGAAGAAAGCTTAGATCTACTTCGCGACAATATTATGCGAAAAGTTTATCGACCGGTGCAACCAATAAATGACCGAATTGTTTTCCGAAGTTATCAAGCTTGAGAGACGATTTTCTCTGCCATTGTATTTTGTCTCTTTTCGAATAAAAAATGTTCACGAAAAATCGATTACTAACGTACGCATATACTCGGACAACTAGGAAGGGATTCGGCTGAACAATCTGTATCGCCGGCGAGGTTTGCAAGCAGCTTTATATAACCCTTCAAACAACTGGTATTTTCTGAAATTTTAAGAAAAAAATTGAAGTTTGTTTATTTTTAAACGTGTTTGCACGTCTTGTTCAACATACAGTTGACGAAGATACCGAATTACGCTTATATGTCGTTCAAAGTTCAAACTTTAATTGAATTTTTAATTGAAATTTTCTGTGGCGAAAAAAGGATACTAACAAAGGATATATACAACATAGCATATAAAGAAGAAAGTGCACATAAAAAAGAAGAAATTCCATAAGGAAAGTATAAGAGCCTTACAAGAAAGCTGTAAGAGTTTCATAAGAAAGTGATAAAAACTCTTATGTAATTCTTATTTGTTTTATATGAATTTCTTGCGCGTAGCTTATTGAATGCTTGTTAGATTCTGATAATTATTTCGTACTACACAGTATTTTATTTACTCAAAACATAGACAGATTATTTATTTCAAGAAAACAGAACAATTACAAATGATGATAATGAAGGACAGACGCAACTCACAAAGAATCCTACGTATGATACCGACAGATCATTCGAATTTGAAACTGAAAATAGAAGTGATCTTGAAATACTTCAAGTAGTGTTATACAATACATATCTGACAGTGTAATAAATTTAGTATCCATAAAATTGTATTTGAAATCTATTTGAAAAAACGACACAAGAGACTTTTTATATTCTAAATAAATACTCTTTCTTCGTATTAACTTTATTTATTCCAAGCGTTTCGATTGATAGTTCAGTCTTCCTCAGTGGATACAAACGTTAATTAAATTAATTAAAATTACATAACCAAAACAGTTTTAACAGAAAACTTTGAACATAGGGATATTTTTCCCCTTTTTATATTTCAATTTATAATATATACTCTTATATAATCTATACATAGGCGGCGGAGCCACTAGGCTCGTTAAGCCTTGCTGACAGAAGAGAGAGCAGATATCTAACATGTAAATTCTCTTTTCTGTATATACTCAATGCTGAAGGTAGAAGAATAAATAGAGCAATTAGTATAACTCAACAGAAATACAAGAAAGGTAAATAGTAAGACCTTTTTTTCGGCCTGTTAGGTAATTGACAGCAAAAGTAATTAAGTATTAAATGTATTACATGATGAAAATATCATAATGATGGCAATAAATTTGAATTCTTTGATTTATTAACAATAAAAAAGTACAACTGTCTTTTATCGAAAGAGTATGCTGCGTGAGATGCTCATCTCTGATCTGTTATCTATTACTAAATTGAAGCTAATATTCAGTAAATTGATTATACAAATTAATATTTTCATTCAATGTTGATAAAAGTGTCGTTTACATTGAGCATTCTCGCTATAGAATATTCAATCGAATAGAAGAAATACATTATACACAGAACAATGCTGAAAACTTGGTAGAAACCTTATTTACAAAATATATCATCTAATCTCCAAAAAAAACAATTTACATTGCGCCTTCAAGATACAGTGCACTACGACACAATTCTACACACATATTGATGCAACATTATTTTGGATTAACATTAAGCGGAATACAATGATAAGTTTAAAAGTCCCACTTAAATTAATCGTTTACAAGGGTATATTTTTCTACATTCTACGTGCGGTATGCTACAGAGTCAACGACAAGAAGTTAAACGAGAATAACTACAAAAGTTTTAGATGTAGAAACATTCGATGAAAAAAATAACCAAGATTGTTCGTCATATCTTAACATTATCGATACTGCTCACGTCAAGGTATGTAGTTCTCAAGAAATTCTTATTTTCTAACAAATTCGCCAAGAAAATATGTTGGTCTACTTGAATAGGCACGTTTTCGATCTAGTCATTTTAACAACCACAACTGAATCTTTTGCCAACTATAGACTACAACAACTGCACAACAAAAACATGTTAGAACAGTAGTTAGTACAACAGCTGTATTTGTTACCCGTTGAGAACTTACTCTCATACTACCATACAGCCAGTCGTTCGAATATAATTTTGTATCCGAATTTTTTTTTCTTAAATCAACTAGTAATTCAGCCAAATTTTCCGTAAGACTTAAATTTTTCAATCGTGATGTTAATTCATTAATTGAATTTTCATTCAATTCTAATTTGAACCCACCATTGACAGGTCACAAATATGTTTTTGTGGTATTGCATGTTGAGCCTCCATAATAAGAATAATGAGCACAATGAAAACGCTTAGAACAATCAAGTTTTATAACTCCAATGTTTGAAATTGTTTGAATCCTTTTATGTTTTTCATCTTCGCCAAGAAAACAAGAAATGGTATTGTGAGATGAAAAACTCCATATATCTTCTGATAGACGAACACTATATGGAGAATGTAAAGTTAATCTGACTGTTGTACAGCCACTGGTGTCATTTGTGGTTAATAGATCACGAAGACAGGGTAGTGGTATATGGTCGTAAGTTGAAAAATTCGATTAATGAATTAATATCACGATTGAAAAATTTAAGTCTTACGGAAAATTTGACTGAATTACTAGTTGATTTAAGAAAAAAAATTGCGGATACAAAATTATATTCGAACGACTGGCTGTATGGTAGTATGAGAGTAAGTTCTCAACGGGTAACAAATACAGCTGTTGTACTAACCACTGTTCTAACATGTTTTTGTTGTACAGTTGTTGTAGTCTATAGTTGGTAAAAGATTCAGTTGTGGTTGTTAAAATGACTAGATCGAAAACGTGCCTATTCAAGTAGACCAACATATTTTTGGAAAAACTTTTTAATTCAGCAGAAGATTCGCCTAAAAAAGCGCTCCGTTTTTGCCTCTACTCTTATACTTCCAATATGTTTCGTTTTCACACGAAACCAAAAATACCAAAAAAACTCTTTTCGATGACTTTTATCCAAAATTTGTTTATATTTTCGAGCTCTCTGAAGTGCAAAACCCCTAAAAAGCTTTTCGAAGCACCACCGGATCTGCTTCAGAAGACGAAAAATCACATTTCTGGGTTGTCTGAGAATTAGGACAAATCTCTTATTGCAGTTGTCACCGCCTGAGGCTATTATTATAGCGGCTTCTTGATGGTTCATCCTTCAGTCTAACGAAATCGTCATACATTTTACAATATACATCCATTTTCTGTTATCATCCGTTCCACTCCAAAAATAAAAACTTTTTTCTGTTCTCATCTGCTCCTGTCCAAACAGTCTTCATTGGTCATTTCTAACATATATTTTCATTGATTATTTTTATTTTTATTTTTATCGTTAACATGTCCTTTCTGCCTATATAACACGCATGTTTTTCTCATATTCTTTTACATACGTACACTGGAGAAGATATTCGAAATGCATTTATACCAGTAAATTTTATGACATCATCATTTACTATCTTCAATCTTTACTTGCAATTTTATAATAAAATAAAAAAAGGTTTTTGTTTGGTACAAAAAACAATTTCTCAGATCATATAGTGAAAGATCGAGCAGAAGTGTTTAATAGAATTTTCTTACAAAAACATATGTTTTAAAATCGAAACGTTCAAAAAAACCAATGATTAATGCAAACAAAAGAAATAAAGCAGAAAAAAAGTAAAGAGTATTTCATTTGATTTGTACAACCTTTTTATTTGATTACCATCAAGTTAAGTGTCACAAGTTTGAAATCGGCAAACAATTTCAAAAAAAGGCATTGTTGCAAATGCACGAATTAAAATTGCTAACATAATTATTTCGCCTTTAGCATTATAAAATGGATAATTTATATTTTTAAAAGCTTGTACAGTTTTTATTGTTGTCCATAATTCATCAATCATTCGTTCACCTCCATCAATTCTTTTACTATATAAAAGTATTTCTGGTATTTGGTTTAAAATTGTTTTATCATGTTTTAGTTTATTATATATATTATAACGCCAACCAAAATCATTTGGTGTAGCTTCACTTTTATCTATAATTGTTTTTCCTTCTTCTGCTGTTAAAATTGTATCATTATTACGTCTACAACGATCATCACGGCAGATCCGAAAATCTTTTGGTAACTCAATTATTGGGTAATCCATAGATTTATGCATCAATTGTTTCATAGCTGATTCAGATAAATGTACTTCATGAAATGCACGTTGTTTTAACCATTTCATACTTTTTTGCTCCACACTTGTTAATGGTGTACTATTGTTATTAAAACTACTACTTATTGATTTTGATATTTTATGATGACTAGATGCAACATGTATCATCTTTCCATCATAATTTGAACGTATAACAAAAAGGATATAAGCCATTTCACCATCATCATTAATATATTCAAATCCATCAATCAATTCGCCATTGCATGGCAAACGATCAATCGATTGACATAGATCTTGAATAAATTCTCGACCAGCATCATAACGATCTAACTTCCATATGGTATGACATGTGCTTGTTATATACCGTTTAGCATTATTTAAATCTTGTATATCTTTTATATTATTTATTGTCGTATATCGCAATGGTTTTTCATCGTCCATATTATCATGCGCTCTTTTTCCACGTAAAGCCATATAACTACTATTATTACTGGAACCTAACAGGCCTAAAAAAAGGTCTTACTATGTACCTTTCTTGTATTTCTGTTGAGTTATACTAATTGCTCTATTTATTCTTCTACCTTCAGCCTTGAGTATATACAGAAAAGAGAATTTACATGTTAGATATCTGTTCTCTCTTCCGTTTTCATTTTCTTCTTCAAAGTCACTTGCATCATGTTACTTTCAATGTTGGGAAAAACCAAATTAAAATTGCTCTTTATCAAGAAAATTATCTTTCCATTAGTAATTCAGAGAAATTCAGGTTAGATAGTAGGTTATTTCAACAAATAACAGGGAAACTCCCAAGTAGAAAAACAAATGAACTATTTATGCAATTTTGTAAAAATAGAGAAAAGTTCGTAAGTATAATTTTGCATTATTTCCATGCGTTGAAGTACAAGACAACTCATGATCCGCTCAAAGAAGAGAAAAAAAGTTTGATCTGGGAATGATATTAAAACGAGGTGAGTATTTGAATCGTCATTGATGATGTGTACTATGAACCGAATATGGTTCCCCGAATCAGTGTTCGGATTGCGATTCGGTGCCGAGTAATTAAAGGAAACGACGGTGTACAAACGCTTTGTATGAAAGTTAATAGTCTCTTTACTGTTAGGTTGTTACTACAAAGTGTCTTCTATCGACCTAGACTAGTTCGAGACCGCTGGCTACCACAGTTTAGGAGCTAGAATATGCTGCGACTCGCCTGGTAGCATCTAAATGCACACCCAGGTAAATGTAGTCAATAATCTTCAAAATCCTTTTAATGTATAGTTTCAGATGGGTATCAAGAATACGACACAAAGATTTTTCGAGTAAATCCATTTTTCACCAAAATTCCATTGTTGAATAAAAGTGCTCTACAAAGGTCAAGACGTTATGAAAATAGCTTAAGTTTTCAGAATACATTTTAGACAGCTGGCAGTGTCGAATTCCCAACAAAATGGAAATGAACTTTTTCGCGAGAAACGAACAGTAACACGAGAAACGGACACCATAGATACAAAACTATAATGTTTCTTG